TTGTTGTTACTACTCTATATTCAAAAAAAAAGAGGCAAGATAACGTCACATTACGTAATAGAGAGCCTTGTCGCAACCTGGACTAACATGGGAGGTAGAAGTTTGTTTAAAAGGCAGAGAAGCTTCCAAGATTAATGGCTATTTAACACAGCGAGTCACAGCAAAAAATGTTTCATTCGATAGAACCTCCAAAGTCAGAGAACTTAGACTTTAGAAGGTTTTTTAGCAGATGCAAGTAAACTAGACAATGAAACTTGGATATGAGGGTACTTTTTTAAATAAATCAAAGCAAATCGCTGCGAAGCATATCTGGCCGCTAATCTACACAATAGGGCTTAACCTATAAGACTTGATATTATTTTAAATTTTATGTAACGGGTTTCGCACATTAAACAATGCGTTAGGGAGAAGTACAAGTTCAAAGCTATCACAAAAGCAGTGAAGCTTTGAAGATTTCTTCCCAAAATTGTTTTACTAGTAAAGTACCTCCCACTGAGAAGAATACTTATTAGTACAAATGGCGTTCAAAAAAAAAAACAGCTTGATACTCGATTCCAAATCTTTTTTTTGCATAAGTGCGAACTATTTTGTGGAGATGCTCTAAAGGCTTTTCGCTTCCAAAAACAACTTGGAAGTTGTTTTGAGTCGGTTCCGTTTTTAAAGTAAATAAACAAGCAAGGAAGGCTGTTTTGGCACAGAAAACTCCTCATAACCTTTTTCTGAGAAAGACTTCGCAGAGAAGAAACAGATTTGGAATCAGTATTTTTAAATACATCTAACAGTCTGTATCTTGAATCGCCTCTTCGATCAAACATCTTTCCTTGTCAGCAGTACATAGTACCAACATTTTTCAGTAGGAAAAATAATAGGATTTAAATAAAGTCCAAATATTTTACACCTTATTTTCAAACTTCGCTATGTGTTTCACGTGAATATAGGGGAAGGGGGAAATTCTTTATTTCAGTCCAAATCGTATCTTACTGCCACTACACAACATATATTCCTTCTGAAGAACAAAACTGGAACTAACCTCCCTTCAATAGATACCGTTTGCCAGATGGTGGTTAGCGAATGTACAATGAAGAGGACACGAGCGAGGATTGCTCTAAAAAGTGAAGTTACTGAATAAGGAAGATCTGAAATATAACTATTGAATTGAGAAAAAAAAGGTTTGTTCAGTCTCTTCTGAAAACATGTGATTTTTTCGTAAGAGAAGGGCATAAAAGTTTGAGATCCAAGTACGACGTCGTTAAGTTTATGGCTTTTCAAGCTTAATCATATTTCTTTCATTTGAACATCTCTACCTTTCCCTAAAAGTTTTTGTCTCAATTTCACGTGAGATTTGACAGCTCAATTATGTCAACTTTTTTTCATTCCAACTATTTAGGCAGATAAAATGTACTCTCGCATTCCCTAGAGAGCTGCGTGTAGAAGCTAAATCTCAAAAGAGTAGAACTTTTAAGGAAATAGATTTTTGAGTACATTTCAATCATATTAGTCGTCCGCGTTCAGTGCAATGCAAACCAAAAGTGTCTGGAATTCATGAGAGTTTAATAATTAGAATCGTGAAATTTCTTTTCTACTTAAAAAGAAAATCAAAAGAAGGTTTACTTACAAGAACTGCCTTTTCAGTGATTCAACTGAATTGCTTTATTTTAATTTTTTTTCTAATTTCTCTTTTTAAACAATCTATCTCTCAATCGACTTATGTAACAGACCATGGGAGCTATTTTTGTACTGTAATCTGTAATAATTTTTCGGCACGCATAGTTGTCTGATAAAAAAGATTATGATACTTTTTCGGTAAATTTAAGAATGCACCTACCTGCCAACAGAGATCAGCACTTGCGTTCCATCCACATCGACAGGAGTTTTTACGTTTACTAATCGTCGCTGATCTTCCGCATCTCCGGCGTTATGCTTGCGGCGACCTTCCGGAGTGGCCGCCGCGGAGGCGGATGCCGCCATGCGAATTTCCGGATACAGTAACGTCTTGCTGAAAATGGAATTGTTGCCTTTGAACACAATTAAAGACTTATTCCTCTTATGTCGTAGTTGCAGAATGAACATCTAACCTGCTGAAATAACAACACAGAAAAATGTCAATGATTTCAGAAAAAGGTTAACCGCAGCATTTCTGGATTTGTTGTGAGGTGTGTAATTGCACCATGTGCATGGCAAAAGCAAATCATACATTTGGCCATATAAAGATTTGGCAGTCGATTACCAATATACGAAGCAAAAAAAAAACAA